TAAGTACCTACTTATAGGCCTTAGCCTAAGCAGCTAGTCGAATTTTCTTAATCGATTTTAGTTTACATATTTTATTCATTCATGTATCTTATTTGTTATCAATTTTATTTATTTTTTTTTAATTTTTGGTGGGGGGTGAAACGATATTCTCGCTCCTTCAACATTTGTATTGGGGGGAGGGGAGGATTGCCACCCTATGTCATGCTTCGTAGACTCTTCTATTTTCTCATTCCATGTTTTTCCCAACTCAATTTTCTCCCTCTTCACTATAATTAAGAAGGCCGATCCTCGTCTTCTACTTCCAACTATTTTCCAAAAATAAATCACTCTTGACAATCACTTATCAGAGATTCTTTTTAAATGCCCATACTCCTGAGTGACTTTTTTTTAGATCTCTTTGATTTTTTTTTTTCACCTCCATCTTTTCTCGAATTTTTTCATCCATTCTGAATATTTTTGTCGATCGTCGTCAATAATCTATCTTTATAAACTAAAAAAAAAATTCCCAAAATAAGTACAGAAATAAAACTCCAAATTTTGATATTTCCAAAGAAATATTTCCTGCTAACAGCCCCCATTGTAGAACATTCCATAACGTTAAAGTTATCTCGCGGTTTGGCAACCCAGCCCCACAACGTTGCCAAACGCCCCACTTTCCATGGAATGTCCTGCTAAATTTTCCGAGTACCGAATTTTTAGGCCATGTCCTTCGTCAAGGAAAAGACAAACTTTAAAACGACTATTTAAAGGAAAATATAAATCACTATCATAATGTTTAGACACTCATTATTACTAGAATACATTTTTTTTTTCTTTTTACTTTCACTTACGTATATATGTAATATATAGTAAGGGTAAGTATTGCAATCGTGAAAATTTTCGAATCTCAGTTTTTAACGGAAATACATGTTTTGAGGTCCCCTGAGTTCAAATAACGAAGTGTCGCAAAATGGTCTGTGTGTGTGTGTGTGTGTGTGTGTGTGAGTCTAGCTCATAAACGAAAAGTAGTACGAAACTGATATTAAGTATTTAAGGTTTGTATATGGGCCGGATGTGACAGCAAATTTTTCGTTAAAATCGGCTAACCGGAAGTGCCACTTTATATGAACGCTGAAACACATTTTTACAATTTTCTCAAAAACGACTCTAACGATTTTGATCAAACTCGGTGTATCATTTTATAATTAAGTGGTCTTTAATATCATTTAGGTCTTATCCCCGTTGATGTCACTTTACAGAGCTTAAATGCCCAATGTTCATATATGTCTTCCTCTAAAGTACTTTTAATATGGTTTATTTTAAAAAGTTAACCATTTCGCATTATTCAGAGATACAAAAAAAATGCTACATATAACTTTTGAAAGAGTTTGATAAGTTAATAAAGGAGAAAAAATAAATAAAAATGCAGAAAAGCTTGCGTTACTACAGACTGTAGCGCCTAAACGAATGTACTGATTTCAATGGAACTTCGCTAAAGTCATTTTCTTGATACCCTTTAAATTTATCTATATACATATTTCAACGAAAAGAAGCTGGAAAAAAAAGTTACGAGGGATGTTAAAATTAAATTCCGAATAACTCAAAAAGTATACGCTGGTTTTTTAAAAGTTTGTGGAATTTCCTAAAAAAAACAAAAACAAAAATCGTTAAAATCGGACAATAAGGAGGAAAGATATGTCTCTAGTTTTTTTTCCCTGAAGAGGTGAAAATTGGATAAATTTAAAATATATTTTTTTAATTGTTGAGACTAAAAAAAACCTTTTTTCTACAGATATTTAATAAATTGTCTTTCCTAAGAACATCTTGCATAAGAAAGTAGTACCTAAATTTATACTTTTATTCTCAGTTCTATATTTCAACACTGAAATCACCACCTCTGGAATCAACTTACTCATTGTCTGCATAGATAACTTTTTCAACTAAAAATATCACTAAAATGACATCACTCAAAAATGTTGAAATTGGAGTTAGTCATTCTGTGGTTTATAAAATCAGATATTGTGAATAGATTTTTATTGCCTGTCGTCGATGTAGTAAATAGACATTTTGTAATTATAATGGTCTTAATGACTTGTTATCTGTAAGCTTTAAGCTTTAGCTCCGTTTAAAATGCACTTCAATGCACTCTAGAAAATAATTTCTATTCAAAGTAGATCGGTAAGTGAAAGTTGTGTGTTGCGCGCACCAGATTTTTTTCATTACAGACCATGTAGATCTTTTGCCGAATCATAAAAGAATCTGTTTTTGACATTTGAAAAACCTATTTTTGCTTTATATTTCATCCAAAGTATTATCACTTATTTTTAATGAGGGGAATAAATGGACCCAATTTCAAGACTCGTTATATTCAGTATATCTCTTTGAATGTATTTATTAAAAACACTCCAAGAAACAATAAAACAAAAATTTTGGGATGAATCAAACTAGTTAAAGAAAAAAAGATAAAACTAAGGTATGGTGCCCTTACTAATAGATGGTTGTTCCTGGGACAGTAAGTGGATCGCAAGGGACCTTCCTAATTTGCCAATCATTATTTCGGTTATTATTTCCTGTAAGACTAAAGGAAAGCAGACAAATATACTAGGAGAAAATATAGAAACTAAAAATATATGAAATGGAGGTCTAGGAGATCCTGAGACAAAGAAATACGAATACATTACACATTTATATTTTTATTGAAGGGTTTGAGGCAGTGAGATAACTCTAAATTCTGCGATGCTTTGATCAAATTACCCAATCAAAATGTGATAAAATCTTCACATAAAAATGGAAGGAGGCTCATGAATGAATCATAAGATTCCAGTATATGTTGCTACATATAATTATCTTTGAACATAAGATGAAATTCCAATAATAGTTATGTAGGTCGTGGTAAAATACTTGAGTACTTACTTCTAGGCATTATCTTAGCATTCTGGTCGACTTTTCCTATTTTCTTAATTAAGTTTAATTTATGTATTTTATTCAGTCATGTAAATAAATTGTTATTTGATTTTTGTTCTTCGAAATATTGGGAGGAAGAGAAGCAAACGATATTGTCGCCCCCGTCGCTAATTTTATTGGGAGGTGATCATCCCCGAATACTACACATATGGCCCCCGAGGTTGTTGGTTTGAAAGCAGAGAGATGATGAATTAGGAATGATTTTTATTTATTATTATTATTATTTAAATATTTACCTATTGAAGGGGATCACTATTGTTTTATATGTAAGTAATAGTTTTTTTTTTTATCTCCAATATACAATTATTATATTTGTTGTAATTGTAATTGTAACATTTGTTTTAGTATATACAATAGTTATTAAAAGTTAACAGTAAAGTGAAAAGCAATAGTACTACTCCGAACTTCAATGAAAATCAATAGAAACTAATACTAGAATACTAATAATAGAAAATACTAAGAATACTTAAAAACTGATAAAGATATCAAATCATTGAGAAAGAAGCCTAGACAGATTGGCCCTGAATTGGATTATGGTCTCGAGCCAATCTAATTATATTGTAAAAGGTGATATCATATATATAGTTAGCTCATCCTCAGCAAGTGGTCTACATATGTTTCATTTTTAAACAATTAAAAATAGTCATAAATACATTATGAATTTTACGATTAATACGAATTATTAATTTTTTTTTAACTTAATACTTCTAAAAGCTGGTAAACCTAATTAAATGAAATTCTAAAGTATTTTAAGTCCCTGATTTTCACTCATTTATTTTAATCATTCTAATTACTTAATAGTATGATGTTATGTTCAACATTGTCGGACTTTTTCTAAAATACAGCAAACGAAAATAATCAAAATTTGTATTTTTCATTACTAAATAATATAGTATTTTTATTCCTAAAATAAAATTTATTATGTAATTGGTAATTGGTTGACTGTCGTGGATAATGAAGAGAAGAATAGTTGGGGTGGTCAGTCAAAAAGGAAGGCAAAAATAAATGATAATATTTATTTTTTATTTTTTATGTTAATAGTAGTTTTACATATATAATATGTAAAAAATAAAAAATAAATATTAACATTTATTTTTGCCTTCCTTTTTGACTGACCACCCCAACTATTCTTCTCTTCAAAATTTATTATGGTCTTGGAAGGTTTTCTTATTTATGATTCACCACTGTATTTACTTTTTGTTTGGAATAAATGACTTTTTTTTATAAAAAAATAAAAACCAAAATTGTGGTTTCAAATTGGATATTTCTTCTATAGGAATATAACATGAACCTCTTCTTTTCCTTCCAAGATATTCTATTGCTCTCCTATTCTTAACAACAGTGCAAGCAAAAGTAGAACTTAAAAAATCATAGATTATATACAATTCAATAGCTGTGGTCTGTCACAATTTTCCCCTTGTCCCCTGGTTTGAAATTTTCTGAAATTTCATAACCCCATCGAAATATGCACCTAAACAATAAAAAAACCTCGTCAAAATATGGCCCCTCAAAAATTTTGATGGCGCAACTATAGCGCCATGAAATCCCATTCTGGGCACTTCTGTTCTTTACGATTTCAATTAGTGAACTACCTTCTATAAAGTTTCAAGATAAATTAAATACCATTGTATTTCAAATGAAATGGTCCACCTTTATAGATTCTATTCAATATTATATTCAGAATTAAAATATTGGAACAGATTACATCTGTGAATTTGCCAATCTTAACGTTTTGTCATGGCTTAAGGCACTGTTTGGTATTTATATCCCATGATAGATTTGGCATTATTACATTAAATGAAATATTAAGAATATATCTTAGCTTATTAGTATAAAACCATTAATACATAAAGTATGGTAAAAAAGATAACAAATAGAACTTTACAATTTTTTAATAATTAGGTATTATTTCATATTTTCACATATATGAAAAAAATAATTAAAATTATGCATATACTACATAATATATACACTTTTATGATATTGAATTTTAGCAAAATTTATTTGAAGTATATTGTATTATTAATTATTCTATAACACGTTATAAATTATTTCAGGCTGAAGAAGGCAAAGAAAGAATGCATGAAGAAATAAAAACGAAAAAAGAAGAAATACAGGTTTTTGGAGAAAAACTGAACGCAATGCAACAGAAATACACGATGATGGAAAGGAGAGCTGAGGAACTAAGGGAGGCGGAACAGAGGAAGCACCAGGAAGAGATCGCTTTCCTGAAGAAGACGAATGCACAACTTAAGGTAAAACAAAATTATAAATATTTTTTGTGATTCTTAATATATATTTTTTCTTAGTATTGATAGTTAAACTCAATAATTTGGTATTATGCTTTAGACTGATTTTTTTCATTATATTGACTTCTGGCAAATAGTTATTTATATCGAAGTTATAAAGATGGTCTTTCTTTGTCAGAGAATATGAAAAAAAAAATGTTCAAAATTCATTATTTATCATTGTAGAAACAATTTCAAGTTCATTTAATTTTTTAGTTAAATAAATTAAATTTAATCTTATCACAGATAATTTTCTTTTAAGGTACTGAATGAAAAAATAGATAAAAAATAGCCATGGAGTGATAAATCTGCAAAAATTTGAAATCTAGTGTTCAATTCCCATTCATGGATTTAACGAAAAAAAAAAATTAATAAGTTCAGGTCCTACTCGATTGCTTAGATTGCTATGGCGTGGGTTCGATTCCCGCATGGGGATGGTATCCTAAATTTACAAGGAGTTTAGCAACCCCCTGTGTCTTACAATATACCTTCTGGTCCTCCAGGTTGGGGGTTTGATATAATAATAATAATAATAAGAATCCCCAATTTCATAAAAAAAATGGATGGAGAATGCTGAAAAAGATTGTCATCCATCCTTCAGGAATGTGCCTGATGAAGAGGGAGTGATTTGTGTTCGCTTGCGGTTAGTATACCACATGCTCCCTTGATATCTTGAAGAACAGAACCAAACTTTTGTCACCTATAACAGCCCCAAAAAGCTGCTAGAAGACTCATGGCAAAAACTCGAAATCAAGAGGCTTAAGAAAAAAAAAAATCTTTTCACTTTATGGGATGTGAGACAAAATTCATCATTAATTTTCTTTTTTTTTGTTTTTAATATCTGAATATTCTAACCAATGTGAAATAACTCATTTTTTCTTTCTCTGTTACCTCCTATCTCTGGAATATGAGGTAGGGGAGGGGGAGGAGTAGTTGTAAAACCAAACCCATTCTAACCAGATTGGAAAGGTTAAGATTCATTTTGTAGGTCCATCATAAATTTTAATCCGCCCAAGTATGATTCATTCCAACACTATTAAACTTGATAATGTAACTAGTAACTTGGTAATTACAATAATCCATTTATTGTTAACTAGGCATATATCCAGGGTGTCCCGTGAGTAGAGGGAAATATTTAAAAGGTTGATAGCAGACATAAAGATCTACAAAAAAGTTTACATAAACAATTGTCCAATTTCCAGCAGAAGAGAAGGAAATTTAATATTTGTGTTTTTTTTAACTTGTCGCGTTTTTTGTTGAATAGGAGGTGATAACTTAAAAAATATTTTATTTAAGTAATTAAAATTTACTGCATAGGAAACTAGACAAAATTTACTTTATAGAGACGTAGAGTTTGTCATTGTTAAAACCATTTGAAGAGGACTATTGAGCGGATCAACTCAGCTAAGTTCCGTTAAAAAAAGTTATAAGTTATTTGTTTTTTTTTTTCATCCTGCAACTGTACTAAATTTACCCCACAGGAACTTCCTTGTTTAATAACATTTAAATCCATATTAATTAAGTAGAGATTTATTAGAAAATAAATTTGAGATTCACCACAAGCTATGTAAAGAAATTATGTGATTTCCTCTTCAGTCACCTTTAAGAACCCGGGTTTTCAGCAAAAATTACTACAATTAACTGTTTCAAAGCTTTTATTTTTTGGTTTTCTGTGATATGGGATGTATTTTAATCAATATAACTGCCTAAAAACACATTTTATTTTTAAATATAAAAAATTTAAAAATAATAATTTTCCACATATTTTTCATGTAAGAAGGTTAATAAATTGAGTTTTTCTCCCAGATGTCTGTCATAAGAATTGATATGTATTTATCAATGACAAACTTAATATTAATTACTAAAATTTGTATTTAAAATAAAGAAACCTACTGATTGCTTCAATTATTTTTAGGAAAACACAAAGATTAGCGTTAGAAACATTAAATTTGTCACTTATAAATTCCTATGACAGAAATCCTGGAGAAAAAGACCATTTCATAACCACCTTACATTAAAAATATGTGAAAAATCATTATTTTTAATTTTTTTATTTTTAGAAATAAAATGTGTTTTTATGAAGTCAGGTTTATTATAATATCATGGAAAAACAAGAAATAAAAGCTTTGCAACAGATAATGGTAGCTATTTTTGCTGAAAACACGGGTACTTAAAGATGCCTGAAATAGGAAATCACATAATTTCTTTACATAACTTGTGGTGAATCTCAAATTTATTCTCTAATAAATCTCAACTTAATTAATATGAACACTTAATTAAACGGGGAAGTTTTTCTAAAAGTGGGATGAATGTAGTACAGTTGAAGGGTGATATAAAAAAATCACAAATAATTTATGGCTTTTCTTTAAACGGAACTTATCAGTGTTTAGACACTCAAAAGTCCACCACTTTGAATAGTAATAACAATGACAAACTCTACTTCCGTTTAAAGTAAATTTTGTCTAGTTTACTAAGGAGCAATGTTCAATGACTTACATCAAATATTTTTTAAGTTATCGCTTCCTATTCAATAAAAAATGGGACTCGCTTAAAAAAACACTAACCTTAAATTTCCTACTTTTCTGTTGGAAATCAGGCAATTTTTTATATGAACTTTTTTGTAAATCTTGTTGTCTACTATTAACTACTTAAATATTTCTCTCTGCTTATGAGACATCCTGTATATATAATATATATGGAATATATATAAGTGTGAGAAAGCCAATTTCTGCCAAAAAATAAATTTCAATACGCCCTTGCCAGATTCGAATAGGTATTGCAAGATACAATGCTTTATCATGCTTTGCCATCAAGGCTTCAATATCAATATTAGAATATTAATAGCAGGCTTCAAAATAACTATTATTAACATAAGATCAGAATATATTTTACTCTTAAAAAGTATCGAGTTATTTTTCCTAAGTTCCATATATGGAATACTATCCTCCATTCCATCAAAATATTTATAAAATAATCAATGTTTTAACAGAGCGAACTACTTGACGTTGAGTTAGGAAAATATGAAGAAATTATAGAAGAAGGAGCAGAGGAAGAAGAAATAGAAGAAGAATCAGATTTTGAGATTTAAAATTGTTTTTAAAATCTAATAAAATAAAATTTATTTATGATTTTTATGTTTTGTTGATTAAATATAAAAAACTAAGGTGTGTGCTTTAGACCACACAAAGAAGTGAAAACAAGGAGAGATTAATAATATGAAATATAAATTATAATTAATAGCTCATTACAGAGAGGATGAAATGCTGAACAATTCCCTCACTTATTATAGTATGCAGATCCATTTTTTGTTTTTGAGATAGTTTAATCCATATGCAAAAATACTCAATTAGTCGACTCCACTGACTTTACCTGAGCATTACACATCGATGGCTCAATCTAATTCACTCTCTTCAAAATAAGTACAAAACGTTCCTAAAGACGTTTTCCCTTCAGTAATAATATAGATGTATTTCTCATAAACGGCTTTAATAATTTTTATTAAGCTCATTAAACCAATGAACAATAATTTTTTTAATAATATTTTTGTTTTTAGTAATATCCTCGCAATTCATTTATATAGATATCCATGTATGCTCTTTTGTCTTATTTCTTACATTTTATCAAAGGTGTTGTCCAGAGCTACTATAGATGGAGTAGAATAGAAAAATGAACTTTATTCTGGGACTAATTCATCTTAGAATAACAATAATGAACAAATACAAAAGAAAATACATATCTGGCCAAAAACTAACTTAATGAAGATTTAAAAATATTTTTTTATACATAACAACTCTGGATAAAACCTTTGATAAAATGTAAGAAAAAAGAGCACACATGGAAAATATAAATGAACTACAAGGATAGTTTTGATGATGGGGAAAAGATCCGGAATATCAACTATAATTAAGATGTAACCAATAAAAAATTTGTTTACATTTATGGAAGTTTATATTGCCAACCTCTGAATTAATTCAACAACTTCACAACAAAAGAAGAAAAGAAGTTCCTATATAAAATATCTTTGACAATGTCATCTGCTTATTTCATAAAATCATAAAGTACATAACTTTGAATTTCTACCACATTTGCTGGTGCAAATTAATTGATACAAAATAACACAAAGTATATTATCATGTGTGATAAATTTTTGGGACACAATCATTATAAAGTTTTTATTAGTGCCGACGTTTCAACCCAAACATGTGATTCATCATCAGGGGATGGTTCGAACACTGAGGGTGTTCAAGTACTGTACAAGTACTTTATAATGACTGCACCTAATATTTATCATCCATCCATGATATGTAGAACAGTCGACTAAATTCCATCAAAAACTCTAATATATGTCTAAAATACTTACACCAAGTACACAGTGTTTAAATTTCGCCAATAGAAAATTGGTTAAAGTAGTTAGTGATGCAATCTTATAAACTGACATATTGCCTAGATAAAAGTACCATATTTTTTTATTTTAATCCTAAAAACTGATTCTATGTTTCAGGCCCAACTGGAAGCAATAATTGCTCCTAAAAAATAATACCTGCCAGCTGATTCTACCATAAAACTAATTTTAATTCCATTATCATTGAACTCATACAATAGTTGTATTTACAGATATATATCTTTATCATTATATAATAAATCTACTTTGTTTATTAGATAAGAATAGATACGCAAATATTTTCTGCACATTATTCTATTCATTAAAAGTAAACTACTGTTATTATAATGTAACCATTAATTATATCATATCATAAACAAAAGATAGTGTTCATTCACAAAACAGATAATATGTAAATAGTAATATGATGTATAGCTACTTTGTTATTTCACTTATAATTTTATTAATTTGTTTTTTTAGCACTAAAATTATTCAAATGTCCTTTAACTTGCTAAGTGGACTGTAAACTAAGACGGTCTTTTCTTTTTGTTAGTTTTAGAGTTCAGATTATTTTGGACCTTATAAAAAAATAAAAGATTTTGTTACATTTGTTTTTAAGATACTTTCTATTTTGAAATATTTATTGATATAAATAACTAGTTATATTATTTAAAAATGTTTGGTTGTTTATGTTTCATTGTAACATTGTACAAGCACTTTGTAGTATATGTGTATGTCATATATAAAGAATTTATGCCAACAATTTCTTAAAAAAAGTATCTCCCTCAATTAATATTACTTTAACAAAAGAAGATAAAAGCAACATAAATCTAAATGCAACTCCATCAAGGATCAACAACCTATTATATCACACAGAAATGAAACAAATATGATAACTACCGGGAAAAATAGCTTTCCTCTGAGGGCTGTTAAATTTGGACAGGGATATCATTCAGTCTTTATGCATGGTCATAGAACAATGCAAACTAGAATTCTAAAAATAATTTACATCAATATCTTCAATGCTCATATTGACAACATTGCAATATGGCCAGTTTAACAGTACAGCAATACATTTATAACAGGACAGGACTTCACTAGAAGTTTGGGCCAACCAAAAATAAAAGTTTCAAAATCATCCTCAGTGATATAAAGTAAAAAAAAAAATACAAGTGAAAAAAGACCTTTCAAAACTGTTGAAAATAGATTTTTTTTAGAAAAAAAAAGTTTTTAAATAAAAGTTCAAGGAACTTTTTTGTGATAAAGTTCTAGATATTTTTTTAATGCTTAACTTCTATTTATTCAAGTTCTTAAAACAGTAATATTGAATACGAAATAAACAATGATTGGGTTTAGGATTACAGTTATTATTTATCTTAAATAAATTACTTGATTATAATTTGTTTTGGTTTTTATTTGTTATTTTAGCTTGGGATCCAGAGAAATTTTATATTTTTGTTAGTTTTTTTAATATTTTTTAATAAGTTGTGTGATAGAGAACTACAAAGAGTTTTTGCATAATTTTAAAGTTTGTATCAGCGTGAGGGCTGAATAAGTACTCAGAATTGGAATTAAAATTAGAATTATTATTAATTTCATCATTTATAATTAAGAAAAATAATTTCTATGATTTATATAAGAATCATGCACCTTATTTCGGGTAACTGAACTGTGCTGAACAACTACAATAAATCACTATCGGAACCTATGTAAAGAAGCTTGGCGTTACTCTTGGACCAAGGTTCCAAGCACCAATAAAATTAAGATCATCCATAGACTTATAATGACACTAGTCCACTCTCACAGACTAGAGTAATGTACAGGGTACAATTAACTATTGTAACACGCCTCAGAATAGGGTACACGAGGTTAACCCATGGTCACCTCCTCGATGGAAAATCTCCACCAAGATGTCGCAGCTGCAACAGAACATATCATAGTACATTGTCTGAGCTTGGGTCAATCAAGGACCTATCCCCTTAGAATCAGAAACTTTGAACATTTTTTCCCAATATCTTAAACAACACAACTACTACAGACATATTTAAACAATAGAACCCTATTATAGAAAACTACCATGCACATCAGAACTAACTTAAGCAGTTGTAACAACAGATTATTTATAGACATATCTCAACATTACAACCCCATCTGATACAACACAGTCTTATACAGACATTTTTTTATTGAATATGTAATGAAATATATATGAAACTGAATTAGGTGCCTCCAACCCATGTAGTTTCAGATGGCACCTGAATACAACTAAATAAATAATAATAATGCTTAATAAAAGAATAATAATCATAGCAGAGAAGAATGGTTGGAAAGATCAGTAAAAAAACAATAGTAAAAATAAATAATTATTTTTATTTTTGCTAACGTTTTGGCCCAAAGTCCAGGCCTTCATCAGGACTAAGAAAAATGGGTATGCGCTCCGATACCCTAATCCGTGAATATCTAGACTGCAAATGTGGGGTTGAGATAGACATCAGCAGAAAACACTAACCAAAAAATGGTATTAATTTTTATATAGATGGCTCAGGAGCAGGCATCTATCGTAAAGATAACAAAGAAAAAGACTCAATACCTCTTGACAAATACACTTCGGTATTTCAATTTGAGATGCTAGCAATTTGCCATTGCGCTCAAAACCTACTGCGAAGCAATGTGATTGGGAAAAAGATTACAATCTATACCGACAGTCAGGCAGCAATAGGTGCTCTAAAACAATTATTAGTGTACTTGAAGGTTCTTAAGGAATGCAGCATAGCACTAAACAAACTGACTAAGCTTAACAGAGTTACAGTAGAGTGGGTGCATGGTCACTCGGGCATACCAGGCAACGAAGAACCAGACAAACTAGCCAGGTTAGGCTCAGATACTATTCCCATAACTCCTGAACCTGTTTGTGAAATCAGCCTTAGTACTGCCAAAAGAAGGATTAGGGAGATTTATGGGAACATATTTAAGCAATACTGGACCAACAAGAAACAACGACATTTGAAGCTGTTCCTTAAAGGTCCATGTGATAAAAGAAGCAAACTGCCACTGAGCATATGCAGAGCAGCTCTTAAAAAGCTTACAGTGATCTATACAGGCCACTGTAAGTCAAACTACCACATTTTTGATCTCCGAGTGATGACGAACCCGCTATGGAGATTCTGTCAGGAAGAGAATGAAACAGCCTTTCACATCATTTGTCGATGTGATATATTAGCAGGACTTAGACTGGAACTATTTGGGGAGGAACGGATGGATTGCCCCAGTAGCTATAAGTCTAAATAGTTTCTCGAAAAGAAAATAACTATTTGAAATTTATAGAACCTTTTGAAAACAATATTAGTTAATTTATCAGAAATTAATAAAGTAAAACAAAATAAAAAAATATGAGTAGAGAAGGATCTTTCAAAACTATAGAATAGACAATTTGAAGATAGAGGGAAAAGACAATTATGGGACAACTCGCATGAAAGTTTCTTTACATAGACACTAAAAGGTAAGACCAATGATTTACCATAACAGTCATATTATACAAGTAAGTGGGCAGGATGGCAGAACGGGCTAAGGCGTGTGCACAGCACTGCCGTTGCTCGGCAACCTGATATATAAGACAAAATGATAGAAAATAGTCACCAGTTCACGACCCGGTCCAGGGAGAGTATTTTAAATCCCCACCTGCACTCTCTGGCCCGGGAAAATCCTGTATAACCTTAAAGGTGAGGAAGGGAAGGGACCCAAAAAAAAAAAATGTTATACAAGTATTCAGGGTTTTCAAACAGTTAAATTCCTGAGAACAGATAAAAAAATCAGGTTCTTTTGAATACAAGTTGAAGAAAACAAACGAAGAAAGTGTTGAAATGTAAATTTTTAACAGAACTCAACATATCAATTTAGAAATAATAAATATTTATAATGTATTAGATCCAATATAGACATACTACATTATACTATCACATTAAAACTCTTCTTATTCCTTGAATAATAATTTTGAAAAACAGTTTTAATATATAGATACAATTAATAAATGTATATTTAAATAGAGGATATGCAATTCTCTACTACAAAGAAAAAAAAAAATACTACTATAAGTGGGTAATAAAATGTAAAATCAAGAATTAGTGCGATATTACAATACAATAGAAACAAACACTAACAGATTCAAGAGGGCTATTGGCTGAAGTCCTTCTCCCTCTCTCTTCCACCAATAGGCAAATCATTCCTTTTTTCATTCGTTAATATTTATTTTTTTAAGTGATGCAAGCCAAATACTTATACGATCATAATATCTTCTCTTGTTAAACTATAACACACCTACTTTAGCTACAAAATGTAAGTAAAAAATATGAATTTTAAGAAAACTCAATGTATTTAAGAAAATGTCAAAAAAAAATACAAATATTTTATCGTTAAAAGCACTATAGATAGTTCCTGTAATAACCATTAATAGAAAAAGAAAAATGTCTCCCAAAATTAAATTCTGAATTCACTATTATAAAGAAGCCTTTAGTAAAACTTTTATCCCCATTTTATAAATAATAAGAATCACATAATCTTCTCTCAAAAACACTGCACATTTTTTTTTTTTTTTTATTGAGTATATTACTTAAATTCCTGAGATTTGAAAGTACATTGGTATATTTAACCAACAAATGATTACTTTGTTGTAGGGATTTTATTACTATTAGTTATTAAACTCTAATTTCTCCATTGTTAAGTTTACTAAAATGGAATTACCAGATTTTCATTACCTACTATTGATAGATCAAAAGTTGTCACACTAATTGTAAGTGGATAATGTTATGATTTCACAAAAGGGAAAATTCATCAAATTATTTACTAATTCAATTTTCTAAAATGTTACATGATGAACTTTTGGAATAAACCGAAGACAAATAACTAATTATTTAAATATATTATCAGATCTAGAGTTATTAAACTACAGTAAATGTTTTTAAGATTATATTTTTATATTTTACTTCTTAATTGACACAATTACAGTGAAATAGTTTTTTTAAACATTTAACATTGCCTTCATTGGATTTCCAAATTCGTTGGATATATACATATTTGTCTTCAAATTTGAACATAATTTTAAAAGTTTAATTAAATATCATTAAATTTCCTTATATATATGAGGTTTCCATTAAATAATTTTAGTTTTCAGACATGATTATTTATAATTTTTTTACCACTCTCCATTACCTTCTATATTAGATATTGTTTTTTTCTAAAATTATCAGTTTCTCAACAATATATTTTACATACATCTTTTGACTATTATTTCCGGAGACTCATTTTCGACCTTATCAAACATTTTTCCTTTATTTAATTATCAACTCATTCAAAGGTTACATTAAGCCTATTATATTATTAACAATAAGAGATAGGTTTAAAATAAATCAAATCAAAGGTACGTTAGATGAAGACATATATGAACATTTGGTATTTAAGCCCTGTTAAGTGACTCCAATGAGGATAAGACCTAGCTTATATTAAAGACCTTTTAATTCCCATTGATATACTGAGTTCAATCAAAACCGTACGAGCCGTATTAGAGAAAAATGTAAAAATGAGTAAAATCATTTACATGAAGCGGTATCAGTTACATAAGCAATATCAGTTCTGTATAAGTATTCGTTTTGAGCTAGACCGTTTACAGACACACAGACCATTTTTGGGACATGGTTATTTGGACTCAGAGGACCTCAAAACCTGTATTTCCGTTAAAAACCCAGATTCGAAAAATTTCATGATCGTAATACTTTTCCTTTCTATATATTACATACATAGGTAAGTGAAAGTAAAAATAAAACATAAATGTTAAACCTTTCAATACCAAATACAATAAAGAAACGCAT